CCTGCCTTTATAAAGCTAACAAACAAATTGGGGGAGCAAGACAGGTGTCCCACAGACAAGGAAGCCAGCACCTTGGTTTGGAGTCAGCTGCATAACTGACTAGTGAATGGGGAGTTCATGAAATTGTGCTATGTGTTTTCTTTCTTTTCTTTCTTTGTGACAGAGTCTCACCATGTAGTTCAGGCAGAACCACACTTGAACTCTCACTATGTAGCCCAGGCTGGTCTCAAACTTGTAGCAAGTCTCCTGCCTCTGCCTCCCAAGTGCTATGGTTCAGGGGTATGCCACCACGCCTGGCTCCTGTTCTGTTTCTTGTTTTGGTGTCTATTAGTTCCTATGAGTCGTACAGAACAATGGAAATTTATGGACTGGTACATGCGCATAACATATTCTGATTATTTTCATCCCAGTCCTGCCTTTCCCTTTCCTTTTGCCTCCTCTGTTCCCTTTCAGATCTCTGAAAATCCACCTTCCAATTTCCTGTCACTTCTCACTGACTGACCGAGTGCTTACTGGTATAAGAGAAAACATGGTATTTAATTTTTCTGAGATGGGCTTATGTAATTCCATGCATCTCTCTGCCAATGAACAATTCTTCTTCCTTATGACATTATGATACAATAACATTCCACAGTGCACCTGTGTATACCATATTTTCTTTTATGATGGCTCTCATTTTGTAGTTCAGGCTGACCTTAAACTCACTTTGTGACCCACACTGGCTCTGAGCTGGCAAATCTCTGAATGCTAGGATTACAAATGTGTGCTGCCACTGGCAGCCATCCATTGTATGGCAGGGAAAATTAAGGAGGTCAGCGTTGCCTCTGTTTGCCTACCACCTCTTATGTAAGGGTGGTACTGAGAATTGAACACAGGACCTTTAGACTGTGCCACGACCCCCACTTTTTTTTCTTTTTTGTCTTTTTGAGACATAGTCTCACTATTCAGTTCAGACTGGCCTTGAGCTCACTTCATAGCCAAGGCTGGTCTCAAACTTGCAATGATCTCCTGCCTCAGCCTCCTGAGTGCTGGAATTACAGGCACGTACCACCATGCCCAGCTCTTAGACCCTATCTTCAAATAAAAAGGCCTGGAAACCTCAGCATTTCCTAAATTCAATCCTTAGTAGGGAGGAAAAAAAAATGTTACTTTACTCACTTAATATAAAAAATTTCACCTGCATAGATTTAGCTCAGCTGTTCCATGTACTCATTAAATAACTGTCCAAGACAATCTAAGCAAACACACATGGTGATTTTTTAACAGCCAGGTAAAAACTCTTGCTGCGTTCTTTGTAGCATTTGCTTACATACAGCAACCAAAAGATTCATATCTCAGAAGGCAAGGAGAAAAGACGATTAGGTATGTGAGCTCTATCTCTTAACTAGTATCCAGAGGAGAGCACTAACTTCCTCAAATGCTGTCTGCTTACCCTTCCCTTTTACAGGACACAGTGTGGTCTGTGTCCTCATGGGCATGTCTAGAAGATGCATACTGACCAAGCTGACAGTTAAAATCAAACAGCAAAGACCCAAGAGCTTTGTGCTTCCACCCTCCTTACTGTTTTGAGAGACCAGAAGGCCAAGCCTTTGCACATGATTAATGTAAGACCCGAGAGTAGAAGGGGAAATGGGGGAAAGAGCAAGCTGCGTAAAACATGTCAACCAGGGAGCAAAAGTGGCACACACATTGCACACTGCCATCCTGAATCAGTCACCCAGAGCACAAGTCATCTGCAGTCAACTGTCCGAATGATACTGGCACAAACCTTCCTTCCCTTTCAGTGAACTCAGAGAAATCAGTAGTATAGCTATCTTAACTATTTTTTAAATACATGTACATGTTTTTTCTTTCAGCTTGTCACACTAATGAAACACCACAATGTTTACAAGTTCTTACTTATTACTGAGTTATCTTTAAAAAGATAAAAATGTTCACTACTGTATAAAAACTGTTTTTAATATCCACTCAAGACTTTTCCCCAATAGAAACTAAAAACAGAGGAAGGAAGAAATATTGAAGTACAAAGAGCCAATATAAACCAATAGTTAATGCAAAGAGAGGCTCACTAAAAAGCACATGAAGTTAAAAAAAGAAGCTGGGTAATTCAGGGTGCATGAGGTACTCTAAAGCAGGTCAGGAACTCTACATGCAGTCATGACAGACTGAGAACTGGGAACAAAATCTTTTCAAACAACAGAGAGTAGTTAGTGCAGGCCAGGAAACCTAAGGAAAGGAAAACGAACAAGGTGAGTATGAAGGTCGCAATGCTAAAGAGGTAACTCTGAGTCTGAAGAGGCTGAGGAAGGAGGGAGATAGGCAGAGAAAGACCTTCAGAATGTGCATGTGTTTGCACTGAATCTGTTGCTCAACATGACTGCATGTATAGAGCCCAACTCATCCAGGGAAGGAAGAAAGGACAGGAAAGGTGAAAGGAGGGAAAGAAAGGGAACAGGTAGAAGGGAGGGAGGAGGGAGAAAAAGCGGGTGTGGTCGCATTTGGGAGGCTAAATAGGGGATTGTACATTTGAGCCTACCCTGGACTCCATAGCAAGTCCAAGGCCAGTTTGGAAAACAGGAAGACCCTATCTCCAAAAATGAACAAAGGAGCCAGGCATGGTGGTTTACACCTGTAATCCCAGCACTTGGGAGGTTGAGGCAGAAGTTGCAAGTTTGAGACCAGCCTGGGCTACAAAGTGAGCTCAAGGCCAGCATGAACTGTATAGTGAGACCCTGTCTGCAAAAACAAAATGAAACAAAACAAAACAAAACAAAAAACCCCCCAAAAATAAAAAACTGAACAAATGAATGAACAGACGAGGATCTGTTGAGTAATTCTCAGAGCTTACACAGGACTTGGAGGTATTTAAATTCTGACCAACTAGAATGTTATAATTTCGATTTGGAATGTTCCCTGTGAAAGAGTTTCCAGCACCATAAAAGAGAGACTATAAAGTAAAAATAGCCTTTACTCCAAGGACCTGCCCAGAACCCCAGACCGCTGGCAGCCTGGCTTTTTCCGCTGGGAAGTGGGGTATGAGATCTATTATACCCGCTGACCAGGGGTGGTGCTTAGGGCGGGCACTGATGAGGCGCGAGGAGCTGATTGGAGTCTTCTTCATGCACAAACAGGAAGGGGAGCTGCAGTTAAGGCTGAGGAAGAAGCAGGCAGTGCAGGGTGGTCCCGCTTTGGCCTTCTGCCACGTTAGACCACCGCCATAACCCTATAGTAATTCATACCAGGACAAAAACCTTTCACCCTGAAGATTTATATGTTGACAGCCTGGTGCCCAGTACAATCTTTAAGGAATGGTAAGTGCCTCGTCATGAGGGCCCTGTTCGCAGTGGCTTAATCCATTCAAGGATTCACCCGGAATGGACTATTGGGGGGTGTGGAAACTGAGGTAGGGTTAGAGTTAGGAAGCTGGAAAAAGTAGGTCCCCGGGGACTCATCCTGGAAGGGTTTATCTTGTCCCCAGCCCGTCTTTCTTTCCCTCCCTCCTTCCCATCTTCTACAAGGTAAGGCACTTTGCTCCAAAACTCTAGTAGTTAATAAAAAAAAATTACCAGATATATACCAAAAAGCAGAAAAATGTGACTTATTAAAATAAACTTGGAGGCGGGGATATAGCTCAGCAGCATAAGTACCTGCCTGCCAAGTACAAGGTCCTGAGTTCGACTCCCAGTACACCAACAAACAAACAAACTTGTTAGAAATATACCCAGAAATAAGAAAAATAGCATGATGGCAAATAACTACAACCCCTGAAACTTGGGAGACTGAGGCAAGAGGGTTGCAAATTTGAGGCCAGTCAGGCATGTGGCCTATAATCCCAATACTTGGGAGCCCAAGGCAGGAAGATCTCTGCAAGTTCAAGGCCAACCTGGGCTACACAGTGAGTTCAAGGTCAGCCTAAACTATGAAAGGGTTTTGGCCCCGGCAGGATACTGTAGCTGGTAAAGCCAAGGAGCTCCTATCTCCCCCACCCTTAGGAATTGCCTCTGGTGCCAAACTAAGACCAATGGGCTACCTGTGCATCCCTAATGCCCCCTTAGGTTCCACCCCAAGCCGAGGCTACTCATGTGCCTCACTCCACGTGTTCCACAGAGAGATTGTGGGCCCGGGGTGGAGATGCCACGCCCCAGGGGGTCGGGGGTGTCTCTCCCCACATTCCCAAAATAAAGGTTATTTATATTTTATACTTCTTATCTTTTCAGCCACCTCCGGTCCTCCTCCTTCCCTTTTACAGTTCTATCAGATGGTTTCCTGACTGGGAACAGCAGGCGAGAGACTCCTGGGGCTGGTTACCAGTTTAGAGTCCCCTGCTGTTCAGGACCAACTGGACTTCATCCTACATTAATTCCTCACTTCTAAACTCAGGAACTGTAAGCTTGGCTGCTGGTTTGCAAACAATACCCACCAATTTACCACAGGTGAGCAACTCCACGGAGACAGACACTGGGCCATGCTCAGGTGGATTTTCTCCCCACTTTGCGTGGGTTCGTGACCCTTTCACATCTTTTAGACAGCCCAAACCAAGGCCTTTCTGGGCAAACTGATGTCCACTCTGGACAGCCCACACTGAGAGGTCCTCACGTTTTTCCAGAGCTTTTGGGGCTTTCTGGGCAAGCCTGTGTCCATTCCTGGACTGCCCACACTGAGAGACCCTCACTTTAGAGCTTTTTAAGTTCTCACGGCAGAGTGGTTACTCAGCCCACGCAAAGTCCACTCTTTTTTTTTTTTTTTTTTTTTTAATTTTTATTTAAGGAGAAAAGAAAAGAAAAAAAAAACAGTGAAGGGTACAAGTTATACAGATTTACAGAAGAAAAAAATGCGCAGTAGGAAATCACTAGTTAATAGATTACATATTGCCATCTTAGAAATAATTGTTCAAGTCACAGAATTAAAGTTTGTAGAGTGGACATTCCAGCAATGATACTGCAAACAGTTCTGTTCAATGATCCATTAGAACTCTGTGATATCATTTTCTGTCTTATACATTTAAATATACATGCAGTTATATAGTTTAGAGCATTTTCTTTTCCTCTCTTTTGTACAGTGACTATTACACATTTTGGGTTTCATTGCTCCCACTGTTCTTATTGCTTTTTTGGAAGAGAGTAAAACCAAATGTGACATAACAGAACAGAATCGGTCAAGTCAAAAGGGTGGATATAATAGATAATATAAAAACATAATACAAGGTGATCAACAATGGTTACCCTAATGCCTAAAAGTCCACTCTTAATATTGGTGACAGCCAATTATTAAAGAGTTTGAAGCCATATAGCCAACCCGTTGGTCTGGGGTGCATTGTGACGACTCTAATCCTGACAGACCACGGTCCTTGGCCTCATCTGATTGTAGCCCCATGTGCTAGACACCACACCAGATTTTATCTGGGGGACCACTTCCCGCCCCCCCCCCCCCGAAACCATACCTATTTATGGCTCATCACACTGCGGACAAGCTTACAAAACTCTCTATCTTTGTTTTGGGAATGTGCCCTTTCCATTCCCACCAGCGTCCCTGTCCCTTTGTCTCCTCCAGGATCCCTCCCCCTCCCCGCACTTAAAGAGATAACAGCATCTTCCCTTGCAGCCTTTCAGAGTTTTCTCAGTGCCTCCTTTCCTCCCGGTTAACCCTCCCCGCAACCACGCTGCCAGCGTTGCTTTGTTTCCCATGTGCCCCAATCCATCCCCTGCCACCAAGATTAAAAAAAAAATGAGACCAGACAATGTTAAGAGATTCACATAAAACTGCTTTAGATTTTAAACAGCTTTTGACTCTCACATCGCGCTCCAATTCTGTGCAGTATCTCCACTTCCATGCAGCGCTTCAGGTCCACACAGGGTTGACGTTTCTGTGCGCCCCACAAACAGTTTCAGCTCCACGTGTCACTCAGCTCCACATCCAACCTGTTCCCCGCAGCACCGGCCCATTCATGCCGGTGCTGGCCCATTCAGCCGTTGAGAGATACACGGGGGACTGTCTGCACCATGGGTTTAGCTTTTGGCACTGCGTCCTGCGAGCGCGGCTCCTGCGGGTTACTGTTCCCTGGCTGCTGGCCGCGCGCCTCTGAGAGCAGAGCCACACTTGACTAAAAGCTGTGGTGCATCTCCCAGCCCCACTGCTGCCGCCGCTGCCATGGCCAGCCACTGCCATGGCCACTATCGCCCACCCCGCCTCCACCGCCACTGCTGCCGCAGCCCCGCCCCGCCGCTGCTGCCATTTGCGCCACACACTGCCAGCTCCATCACTGGCAGCGGGCCGGCCCCTGTGCCGCAGTCCTGCGGCGGCGGCCACCGTGAGGACCCCCCTCCCCCTGCCGTCGCAGCTGAATTGTGTATTTCCCTGCGCCATCCCAGCGCCATCATCACTGTTTCCGGGTGCGATCTGAGCCCACCCCTGTGCGCTGTGTCCCAGCACTCACCCCGCCCACTCTGCAGGTTCCATCTCAGCCCGCCCCTGCGCGCTGTGTCTCCACACTCACCCCGCCCACTCTTCATGTTCCATCTATGCACTACATGCCATATAATCTCGGCCCCACCCCAAGCATGACTATGCTCTCTCTACAGGCGAGCTCTGTCTGCCTCAGAGTTCCAAACTGCCTTAGACACTGGGCCTTTATAACATCTCACAGCTCCGCTCAAAAATATTTTTTTTACAATTCAGTTCCACTCAAAAGAGGCTATTTTTCTTACAATTTTCTACCATTTATTCAAGGTTAGTGGCCACCTGGTAATTTTACCAGCCTTGTTTATCAATTAAAGCCTACACTAATCTCCTGTTTTAACCACTAAAATTAAGAGATATTTATCAATTCCTTTTTGCTGTAAACCACTAGCTCTGTTCCAAGACAAGGGTTTTGTTAAATATTCTAATGTTGTCCACCACCAGTAATGTTCTCTGTTCTAAATTTATTGCTTCTACTGTACTGTGTTGTCGCCAATCTCCTGTTTAACAACTAAGTTATAACTTGAGAGTATATACTGTTAATAAATTTATTCATAAGATTGATAAACCTTTACTGCAAAATGTTTCCATTAAGCCTTTTTTGTTAATTCCATGTGGCACCCTATAAAAAGTGGTATAACATCCATATAAAGCCTGCTTTCTAATCTGAAATGCCAATATTAAGCTCCTACATACTTACTTAATTCTACAGATACCTTTTACTGTAGTCCAGATCTCAAACAACAAGGCAAAACTTGACCTTCAAGCTCCACAGAGAACTTGATATGGTTTTTCATATTTTAAATAACACTTGCAGTTCTGAGACAGACAAATCTACACAAGGTAGAGCTACCTGCCCCCCCCCCCCCATGGACGACGCTCAAATGCAGCAGAAGACATTGGACAAGAAAATGCCCCATCCTGGCGTTCTGAGACTTTACTCCAGGGCTGCTGGGCTGTCCTGGCCACCAGAGAGTAGGTGGGCCATCCTAACTTCTAGCCCTCACAGGACACAGCCAGATTCGTCACTGACAAAAACTGCTGCCGAAGACTGAGAGGGGCTAAGGGCCAACAACAACCGCCTTTGTGAGTGTCTGTCTCAGAGTCCAAGTCACATTAAAACTCTCAAGGTAAGACATTCTCTATATTTGTGGACATAGAGGCCATATATACAGAGTTCTTACTGAGTTTTCAGAGTACTATAATAAATCCTCAATGTCTGACGGAGTATTAAAGGTCAACCTATGCCAGTTACAAACAGGGCCTATTTTTGTGCAGGTCCCAGTCCTAAATCTTAAAATGCTTTTATTCCCTTTTATACAGGCTGACAGATACATTTTGTCTTCTCACTTTGTTTATACTTTTTCAGGATACATAAAAGCCTTTCTCACAACCAGGGAAACTACTGATATACTTGGTAAAGTTCTGTTGCAGCAAAGCATTCCAAGGACTACAACCAAGTCATAGCGACCCATACCTGATATTTTTGGTAACCTTAACAGCAATCAAAGTTGCTAGACTGCCATCCTGATTTCACATCACTCAGGCCCTAAATCTGACCATCCTTTTCGTACTCATCTCTGCCTTACCAAGGCCTCACGGCCACAACTTAAAGGTTGTCATGTTTTGTTATCCACTTTGGTTCCTGATTTCCTACATTCTATTAATGATCAATTTTACAGCAGGACTCTTTTAACAGTATTGCCTACAGACTCCAACATCATACATACCAGAGACAAGCCTTACCAACCTACCTTTTAACTTTTATGCTTTCAGATGGGGGAGTAAGCACCTCTCATAACTTCACTCCTCCTAATCCTACATTTAATTTTCAGAATTCTGCCTTACCGTGAAAATAATCCTATCTCAATGTCATCCTGATAGAATGACATGTCTAAATCAAAGACACCTTTCCCTCTACCTCACTTGGGTCCTTAAATATGACAGTGCCATGTCTCCTCATAACATCTTGTCTCTTTGTTTCTTTCAGTCTAACATACGTGCATTTACCAGTAAAGTTGTCCTGGCTAAAACACCTGACACCAGCTTCTACCTAGACATCAATTGTCATCCCGTTGACTCCCCTAGACCCCAGTACAGCGTCCTCAGCCAGCAGGAAGTAGTTAAAGAGACAAATCTTCGCCCCTTTTCATAATAATCATGAGATGGGATATGAAAGGGTTTTGGCCCCGGCAGGATACTGTAGCCGGTAAAGCCAAGGAGCTCCTATCTCCCCCACCCTTAGGAATTGCCTCTGGCGCCAAACTAAGACCAATGGGCTACCTGTGCATCCCTAATGCCCCCTTAGGTTCCACCCCAAGCTGAGGCTACTTATGTGCCTCACTCCCACGGCTCTGGGGTGGAGATGCCATGCCCCAGGGGGTTGGGGGTGTCTCTCCCCGCATTCCCAAAATAAAGGTTATTTATATTTTATACTTCTTATCTTTTCAGCCATGCGCTGGTCCTCCTCCTTCCCTTTTACAGTTCTATCAAAATACATACTGAACCCTGTCTCAGAAAAAAACAAAACAAAACAAAACACTTTTTATAGCCAGCCTAGGCAATTGAGACCACCATCTCATATTTAAAAATAATTTTAAGGGCTGGGGATGCAGCTCAATGGTAAGGTGCTTGTCTAGCATGTATGAGGCCCTATATTCAATCCTTAATACTACAAAAACAAAACAACAAAAGCAAAACTGAACAACAAAAAAACATTAAGTGAGAAATAATATTAATCTTACATAGGGGGGCTGGGGATTTAGCTCAGTGGCCTAAGAGCCTGCCTGGCAAGTGCAAGGCCATGAGTTCAATCCCTGGTACCAAAAAACAAACAAAGCAGCTCATTATAATCTTACACAAACTTTTAAAAACAGGGAAGAATACTGTGGCATGACCCTGAGGAATTTATCCCAGGAATATTAAGATTGGTTTAATATTTATTCAAAAAGCAGTTACTACAGTAACAGACTGAAGTAAAAGATCTACCTGATCATTTCAGTAGATGCAGAAAAGGCATTGGCAAAAGGCAACACCCACTCAAAACCTCAGCAGATTTATAAGAGAAGGAAATTTCCACAATCTAATAAAGCCAATCTGTGAAAACTCACAGTTAGGCTGTGGGTAAGGCTGAGTGCTTTAGCACTTGCCTAGCATGCATTTAACGCCTAGTATCACCCCACCCGCCAAATAATTGCAACCAGGAATAGGTAAAGATTTACTAAATAAAACACTAAGGTTTAACTCCTTTAAAAAGGAATGAATTAACTGGGGATTTAGCTCAGTGGCATAAGTGCCTGCCTGGCAAGCATGAAAGCATGAGGTTGTGAGTTCAATTCCCGGTACCAAAAATAAATAAATTTTTAAAAAGGACTCAATTGAGCCAAGTGAGGTGGTACATGCCTGTAACCACAGCACTCTAGGGGGCTGAAGGCCTGGAATCTTAGTGATTTGTTTGTTTTTGGAGACAAGGGCTCCCTATGTAGCTCAGGCTGAAGTTTAACCCACTATGTATCCCAGGCTGGCCTTGCACTCACAGCAATTCTCCTCCATCAGCCTCCTGAGCGCTGAGATTACAGGTGTGTGTCACCATACCTGGCTCAATTTAACGATTTAGAAAGATCATGTCACAAAATTTAAAATATTTAGAAAGGACTGTGACATAGCTCAGTGCATGTCACTAGCAAGGCCCTAGGTGTAATCCCTACTAATACTGGAAAAAAAAGAAAAAGACAGTATTAAACTGATTTCCATGAATACCTAATTATATTCAAGTTGATTTTCATGAAAATGACCGAGGTAGGGGGTTTATCTTGGTAGTAAAATGTGTATTTTGCATGCATGAAGCCTTGGATTGAATGCCAAGGATTCTTCTCACTGCACTCCCACCTTCCATCTGGAACTCCATATTTCTCCCTGATAAATTAAATAGACCCTAAGTAGCAACCAACAGTACCCAGCCATATGAGAGTTTTGAGTGAATTTACAACTTAGAAGTCTGGCAAACTCAAATCACTTGCCAAGCTCTGGAACTTACAGTTTCCTATCTTTACTAAGGACACCTAATGATGCTTCTGCTTTCATCTTTTCATGAAACTAAAGCAACTATGCAAGGTATTAGATAGTCACAGCTAGAGGAAACTTTTGAAGTAAAGGTCATCAGGCAACCATTTATGGATTTACAGTGCAACAGTATCTCACTGGGGACTCCAGGAGAAAAGGAGGCTTCGTCCTAGACTTATAAAGGGCCCAGAGGGGCTGATGTAATCATTCCAAACACATCAACTTGAGAGAGGCCAAGGATGACACATAAGCAGAGGTCTAACGAGAAAGTAACAATCTTCATATGCACACTGTGAAACTTTTGAGGGCAGGTATGGGCTTTGTGTTTTTATAGGTCTTAGCTTGGCACAGAAAGTACTTCTGTATTTCTGTGTAGAGAAAAAATCTGGGGCATTTAAAGCCCAGGCAACCCCACTGCCTGTCTTACAGCACTACAACACTCAGAAGCAGAGAATTCTTAGACCAAAGTAGGTCTAGAGAGCTTCCTTTGCAGATAGCTTCATGTGGCTGGGAAAGGATAAAAATCAACAAAAAAACAGCCTAAGCATAGAAACTAGAATAGCAACCTTAACAAAAACACAGACCTCCACTGACTGAGCACCTCTTGCTCGCGCAATGCTTACAGTGACTTTCTATCCAAGGTAAGCTAAGTCACTCTCCAGGGTACACTCGCCTAACAGATATTTCTTCTACAAAGCTACCCTGCATTCAATATGCAGAAATTTGTGAGTTTTTTTTCCCCTCTTGTCTCTCTTTCTTGGTACTAGGGACCAAACCCACAACCTCACACTTGCCAGGTAGGTGCTTACACTGCTGAGCTAAATCCCCAGCCCTTCTCTATTTTTTCCATAACTTCTACACTTCAGGACTAAATTCGATTTCAGAATGTATATAAACTGGCCAGTTCTCTCAGTCCAGCTATGTCTTCCAAGCCTGCTACCAAAGGGCTCTCCATCGCCCTGAGATATATTCATCTGACAGGCTGACTTTGCCCTTCAGCAAGGTGGGCCAGATAATGAACCTCACAGTGGGTGATTAGTGAGAGGCCATCATCTGGGCAAAGCAATAGTGACAGCAACTTTCTTTAATTTCCCCAGCTAGTCACCCCTACCTCCCTGACTTCATTTGGCTGAAGTCCTAGACACCCCTTGTGAAGCTTTTTTTGCACTAATTGCAGACCCAAGATACCTAGGGCTTTACTGTGCACAAGAAAGGCATCCAATCACACTAAAGGCAGCCAAGGCAATCGAGCTGGTGAAAACACCACAATACCTACACATACTCTATCAAGATGTCTCCTTGTTGTAGGCGGGCCTTGCCCAGTTCCAGTCTAAAGCCAGATGTCTCTGCACTCCCTACTTGGGGTTCCTTTCCTTGAAAACATATCATATCTCAGAGGAGAAAGGAAACACCCTTTTCTGATCTTACTGGCAACTCAATATGAGGTCTCTGCCTCCTTGCCAGACCTTGTTTAACCTATCCTTCTTTGTGTGTGTGTCTGTGTGTGTGTGTGTGTGTGTGAGCGAGCGTGTGAGAGAGTCTTTTTGAATAGCGTTCTTTATGCAGTTCAAGCTGGCCTTGAGCTCACTTTATAGCCCAGGTTGGTCTTAAACTCACAATGATCCTCCTGCCTCAGCCTCCCAAGTGTTGGGATTACAGGTGTGCATCACCATACCCATCTACCCATCCTTTCTTTTTTTTTTTTTTACGTCTTTTTATCGGTACTGGGGATCGAATTCACGACTGCCTGCTTGCAAGGCAGGCACTTATGCCGCTGAGTTAAACCTCCAGCCCCCTACCCATCCTTTCTTAACACAAAGAAGCCTTCACAGAAATCCTGCTTGTGCCAGTTGTTGTGGATCACCAAAATTCCGAAGCAGCCTGGGCTACACAGTGACCAACAAAAACAAACCAACAAAAATCTCACTTGTGAGCCACAGTTTCATTTCCATTTTAAGATTACAACATCCTTTAAACAGGATGAAAAGCCACAATGCTATTATGCTACTTAGCAAAAGTATTTGTAATCAACACAGCTTACAACAGAGATAAAAGTTGGTACCACAACACTTCCAGCCTCTGTGGTATTACCACAGTTGGCAAACCATGCTCTTAGAAACACAACTTTTCCCCCCCTCAAATCCATTTTATTCAAGGATGAAAATAAAGAAAGAAAATGAAGAAAAGAACTACAACAAAATTTCAAAACACATCAATCGGGGCAATGATGGTACATACAGTGCACACTGTCATCCCCAAATCATTCACCAGAGCACAAGACATCTGCATTCAGTTGTCTGAACAACACCAGCACAAATCTTTCTCTTCAACCAACTCAGAGGAATCAGTAGTATAACTATCATATTTCTTTATATACACACACATACATTTTTTTCATTCAGCTTGTTACACTAATGAAATAATGTTTACACATGTGTGGCTTATTTACTAATTTACTTATTTACTAATGTTCTTATTTCACTAATGTTCTCAAGTTGCATCCATTTACCTATGAAAGGCTCCAGTTTATCCTTCTTTGTGGCTGAGTAGTATTCTATTATATAAAAAAAAATCACATCTTTTTATCCATTCCTCAGTTGATGAGCACGTAGGTTGTTTCCAAGATCTGGCTATTATAAACTGTATTTCTATAAACATAGGTGCACATATATCACTGTGGTATGATGTTTTTAATTCTTTTGGGAATATACCCAGAACGGGAATAGCTGGGTCAAATGGGACCTCCAATCCTAGCTTTTTGAGGAACCTTCACAGTGATTTCCATAGTGGTTGCACCAGTCTACACTCCCACCAACAGTGGAGAGAGTTCCTTTACCTCATGGCCCCTCCAGCATTTGTTACTGGTTTTTTTTTTAATCGGTACTGGGGATAGAACTCACGACCACGCACTTGTAAGGCAGGCGCTTATGCTACTGAGCTAAATCCCCAGCCCCATATTGGTTGATTTCTTGATAAGAGCCATTCTTTACAGGGTGAAGTGGAATCTTAGTGCTGTTTTAATTTGAATCTCTTGAATGACCTGTGATGCTGAACATTTTTTCAGGCATTTGCTCTTTATATATATTTCTTCATCTGAGAAGTGTGTATTTATCTCAGATGCCCATTTCAGGATGGTCTTAAACTTGGAATCCTATCTCTGCCTTCTCCTCCTCTTTTTGTCTTTTTGACACTGTGGGATTCAGGATGGCCTTAAACTCACTTTGTAGCCTACACTGGCCTCAAACATGAAGTAGTCCTGCCTTAGCCTCCTAGTACTGGGATTACAGGTTGGGCCAACATACTCAGTTTGAGCCACTACTTAGGAAAGTGACTATAGTGGAAATAAATTTCCCAAAGATCTTCTGAAAGGAAGGAAGGCTAAAAAACAAGCTCAAGAGAAAAGACAATTATCTATCTAATAACTGGACTGCAAGCTCTTTCTTTTTTTTTTACTGGTACCAGGGATCAAACTCACGACTGCGCGCTTGCAAGGCAGGCACTTATGCCGCTGAGCTAAATCCCCAGCCCCTGCAAGTTCTTTCTTAAATCAAACCAAGAAAGCAAGGACTGCTATCTCTTGTGATCTCTTTAAAAGCTGATGACTGCTCACTAGGGCTCCAACTAGCCTTAATTCTGTTCCTCGTCTCCTTCAACCGCCCGTGAAGATTCACAGTTGCCTGGCTGAGGAAGACTAGAAGTCACGGCAACACTCACACCTAACTGGAAAAATGCTCAGAGTAGAGAGATGTATAATGACCTGAACTCTTCCCCACTAGTCACCTGTGCATTCATTCCACCTGGCTGTGGGACGTTAATTTTGAAATGTTTTTCTTTTTGAACAAAACTGACCTACTATTTTATTTTTTCAAATCCACTTTATTCAAGGATAGAGAGGAGAGAAAGGGAAATAAAGTTTCAAAACACGTCAAAATTTCATGACCTGGAGCTGTTAGCTCAGCGGCCTAAGCGCCTGCCTTGCAAGTGTGCGGTTGTGAGTTTAATCCCTGATACTGTGAAGACAAAGAAAAATTTCATGACCTACTATTTTAAAGACAATTAAAATGTGGTGTGCTGCCTTTTAGATTTTGAACCATATATTACCTATTAAGTAAAACTTTTTGAAACTTTTTTAAAAAAATTACTGTGTCAGCTGCGGCCGCCCCTGGGGAAGAACCACCAGTGTCTCCTGAGATCCGCACCATGTTGGAACTTAGGACCCTGGGAAACCAAGCAAGCAGCTCCGCTCCCTGGTAAGTGGCTGTGGTGTAGCAGGCTGCAGCCCCTCCAGGGGGAGAACCACCAGAGTCTCCTGAGATCTGCACTATGTTGGAACTTAGTGTGCTGGGAAACCAAGCAACCAGCCTGCCTCCCTGCTCAGCAATAGTGAGCCTACTGGTACATGGGCTGAGAGTCAATCATCTCACTTCCCCTCTCCCCGTTAGCAAATGGGAACCAGAGATCTGAGCATCTCTTGGGAGGTTGACCATAGTGGGGATTTTCTTCTACCATCTCTTTGAAGGCAAATATTTTTATTACTGTTTTGCTTTATTCTGATTAATGGTACTGCTCTAGTCAATATTTTGTTTTGATAAGTTTTATAATGCTCTGTATTTCATTTTATTTTGATATACATGATTGAAAGTACAACTATTGTAAAAATAATGAGATATACTGTGATACCTATTAGTGTTATCCCGGTAACCTGCTGTGAAGTTCTGCACCAATTTCTACACTGTCCCAGTTGGCTTTATTCTGTCTTGTTCTGTTGTATTTTACTACCTTCAAAAGAAAAAAAAAAAAAAAAGAAGAAGAAAAAGAAAAAAAAATTACTGTCTCCCTTTGGTGTGTAGAAAAATCTTCACTTCTCTTAGTGAACGCTCCTGGGACACTTGGCTGGAGCAGACTTTTCTCTTACAGTAAACGTGCCACACTGCACCAGGGTCCTCCATGCATGTGTTTTTCCTCAGCCAGCAGGTGAAGTCTCTAGCCCCATATTCGGTACCCTCTGTCCTTAGCGAATGGACCCTTCCCAGTCAGGACCTCTTCCTGTCCCCCAGGAATAAGCTGTGTTACATACAGTCATTCTCTTTCTGCTTCCCCCTCCCTCTCACCTCTTCCTTCAGGACAGCTGACAAACACAGACTACATACAGGCCTCAGTCTCTTAAAATGGAAAAGGCCAAACTCTGGAGTTAGCTAGGCCTAGGTTGATGCTATGACTTTGCCACCAACAGCTGTATTACCCTGGATAAAATGGTCTCTTCAGTGTCCTCACCTATAAAACGATGGTTATACCTACCGCAACTAGTTGATATAAGAATTAAGTAAAGGGGCTGGGGATTTAGCTCAGTGGCATGAGCACCTGCCTTGCAAGCAGGCAGTCGTGAGTTCGATCCCTGGTACCGATAAAAATGAAAAAAAGACAAAAAAAAAAAAAAAAAAAAAAAGAATTAAGTAAAACACCCTTATAAAGTGACCAGTTTAATAATTACAAGTTATTCCTTTCCTTGTATCTATTTATATCTGTTTTAAATCCAAGATACCCTTTCCCTTACTGAGGGCATCTGGTAGTAAAGCTGCCTCCGGGTCCAAGTGAAAGTGGTCATCCTAGCAGCACATAATCAAGATGACACTCTTACCCTGGTGAGACCCTTGTGAGACATTGCATAACCTGAAGTTATTACTGAGGATAAGTTGCTTATAGGAAAAACCTTCTTCTCTGTTTTCTGCTTTAGTGAATCCAGTAAAAATCAATTTAATCAATTTTTTTTTTCTGCCAAACAGGTTAACTGAAATCAACAAAGACAGAATCTAAACAAAGACAACAAGGAAGGCAGGGTTAGACGGCCAGCACTTGTGTCTCATGCTCACATCACTCAGTTCCCACAGCAACCATCACTTCTGGCTACGGGAGGATGCTATAGACAAACACACTGCCATACACAGGAAACTGAGCGACAGCTATCGCGGGACTCTTAAATCTGGACTCTCCAGCACAAGTCTCTGCCACGCCTGCCTTGTACAATGTTAAGTATCTGATTTAAAATGAGAAAAACGTCGCAGGGGCACTTAGAGCAAATGACTTGGAGGCCTCGATTGGCCTTTCGGGATCCAATGCTGCCGTGGTGAGGATGTTTATTGAAGTGGTTCCTATGGGGAAAGGGAACACATTTATTTTCTGGTCAAAAAACCCTGCTACCAAAAACAAAACAACACTGCTACTCAGCATTACAGCCCTTCTCTCAGTCCTCTTTCATGTGCTAACCCTGGTGTACTCAGGTTTGGCCTGTGAGAACTGTGAAAGCTAGCTTCCCCTTAGCCATGGTAGGAGCATTAATACCACCCACTCACTCCATGCCACCACTACCACCCAGTGGTTATTGTTTTTTTTTTTGTTTGTTTGGTTTTTTTTTTGGTCTTTTTCGTTTTTATTGGTACCAGGGATCAAACTCACGACAGCCTGCTTGCAAGGCAGGCGCTTATGCCACTGAAATAAATCCCCAGCCCCCATCCAGTGGTTATTAAACAGTGACTAGCACCCCCAAAACTAAAGCTTCAGGCAAGCATTCCTCAAGCCTTTCTCGGAGCATTCTCTCTTAACCCCTGGATGAGACCCAAGCTTCCCAACAGTGCAGTGCCTCATGAACTGGGACTCTCCTTTCACCCATATCGCACTCCTCTCTGAGAAATAAAGCTAGATTTCACCTGGGCCCCCTCATCCCCAGTCCTGGGGTCTGAGCTACATCTCCAGCCCCTTTCATTTCTTGTTCTGAGATGGGATGTCCTTGAGTTATGCAAGCTGGCAGTGAACGTGAGATTTCACAGCTAGGGACTGAACCAAGTCCTTCATGTGTGCTAGGTAAGGGCCCTGAACTATATCCCTATATCCTGAAGAGTCTTTTTTTTTTTTTTTTTGGTACCGGGGATCGAACTCACCACCTTACACTTGCCAAGCATGCACTTACGCCACTGAGCTAAACCCCCAGGCGAAGGGTCATTTTTATAGATATTCTAGAAACAAGCCAAGTCGAGCAGGGAATAAGCCACAAGCAGTTTCACAGCTGTTGGAAGAACAAGTTGTATCTTCTCCCTAATCTTTATTGATAAAGATATGTCAAATACAAAGAGAACAACTTATGTTTACCTGGTGTCATATTAAAAAGTTCACTCAAAATTGGGCTAGGAACACAGCTCAGTGGGTCAGAGCTTGCCCAGCATGCATGAAGCCCTGGGTTCATCCTCTAGCATTCCAAAACAAACGAGCAAGTAACAACAATGACAACAACAACAACAACAAAATCTCAACAGGAATTAAAGACCTAAATGTAAAAGGACACTGGTTTTGGCACTAACTTCTTGGACATGACACCAGAAACACAAGTAATGAAACAAGGAGATAAACTGTATTTGTACATAAAAAACAGTGTATGGTGCAGGGGCTTATGTGTGTAATCTCAGGAGGCTGAGGCAAGATCACTGCAAATTCAAGGCCAGTATGGGTGACACAGTGAATTCAAGGCCAGCCTGAACTGCATTGCAAGACGCTGTCTCAACTGCCCCTCCCCTCAAAAAAGTGGTATCAAAATTTTTGGCAACCAGGCCAGGGATTTAGCTCAGCAGCACAAGCAATTGCATGGCATGCCCAAGGTCATGAGTTTGAGCCTTGGTACAAAAAAAAATGGCCACCAACTAGGGACCCCTCCTGTCTCTCAGGAGCCATTCTATTTCCCACTGCTTATCTCCAATACATTTTCCTACTCAAAAAACCCCAAAACACTATAAAAAGTCTACCTATAGATATGAAAAAATGTTTACATCACATATCTAATGAGGAATTAATATTCAGAATATATGTTAAATGTCTAAAACTCAACAACCACAAAAGCAATCTGGTGGTGGATCCTGTGATCACAGCACTTGGGAGGCTGAAGCAGAAGGACTGCTGTTTGAGACCAGCCTAGGCTACACAATGTGTTCAAGCCTAGTCTGAACTGCATAAAGAGACCCAGATTTAAAAAAAAAAAAAGGCAAAGGACTTCAGTACAGATTATTTCAAAGGTGATATAGGAATAGCTAATGAGCACATAAAACTATGCTCAACGTATCATTCAGGTAATACAAGTCAAAACCACAATGAGACAATAGTTGACACCTATTAGAATGAGTATTGTAACAAACAAACAAACAAACAGAAAAGAAAAAAAAAAAAGAAAAGTGTTGGCAAGAAACTGGAGATTGAGATACCACGCAAATTGGGATACCATATAAAATAGTGCAGTCATTTTTGAGGAAGTCTAGTGACTGCTCAGAATGTTAACTATAGAATTATCATATGATCCAGCAATTCAATTTGTAATTACATACACAAAAGAATTGGAAGCAGAGACTTAAACACACATTGGTACAAAAATATTTACATGTGTATTACCAATAACAGCTAAAGAGTGGAAACAATCTAAATGTCCATCAATAGATAATGAAAATGTAGCTTATAATACACACACACATATGTACAGATTTAAACAGGAATGAAATTCTAATCTATGCCACAACATGGATGAACTTTGAATATACTATTTTAAGAGAAATAAGCAGTCACAAAAGTATATGACACAGGCTCAGGCATACAAGTGCATGCTTATAATCCCAGCCACTCAGGAGGCTGAGGCAGGACGACTGTAAATTTGAAGTCAGTCTGGGCAACTTCGTGTCTCAAACACTTTTTTTTTTAAGTCTTAGAATGCAGCTCAGTGGGTACAGAACTGCTATCATGTATGAGGCACAGGGTTCAATTCCAAGTATACTGAAAAATAAAAAGGATATGATTCCAGTAAGTTCAGTTATGCTGAGGGAATTAACTCATTAAAAAGTTTTGCCCTCCATGAAGCCAATGAAAACTAACAGAAAATTTACTTGTTTTCGGATGTTTATAAAGAAGCCTCACTGTGAGAGACTGGGCTTTGTTTAATCAACAATAATGCATTACCCTGAAATACCTAAAACAGAAGCCAGGTCAGGTGAAGTGGTGCATGCCTGTAATCCTAGCACTCTGGAGGCTGAGGCAGGAATACTGTCACAGGTTTGAGGCCAGCCTAGGCTACATAGTGAGTTCAAGGCCAAATTAAGATATACAGCAAGACCCTGGCTCAAAAAACAAAAACAGGCTGGGGATTTAGCTCAGTGGCATAAGTGCCTGCCTGGCAAGCGTGAGGTCATGAGTTCAATCCCTGGCATAAAAAAAACAAAAACAAAAAACAAAAAAACTGTATTAAAAAAAAAAAAAGCAAGGACAAAAATCACCTGATCATCTCAATACACAAAGGAAAAGCCATGATAAAATCTCACATCCTTTCATGATAAAAACAATGAAGTAAGCAGGTATAGCTGGATCTGATCTCAATCCGATAAAAGCCATTTCTGACAAACCTACAGCCAACATCTAGATCCCTACTTCTTACCAGGTACTAAACTCAAATCAATATGGATCAAAGAACTACATGCTAATTCATAACAAAATAGATAAAACTCCTGAAGTCATAAGCATAGGCAGGAACTTTCTGAACTTTAAAACCCTAGCTGCATAGGAAATAGTACCAAGAATCAACAAAAAGGATCATACCAAATAAAAAATCCTCTGTACATCAAAAGAAACCACCAACAGAATGAAAAAAAAATCTATACAGTAAGAAAAAATTCTGCCAGTGATTCTTCAAATAAAGGGTTAATATCTAGAATATATAAAGAACTCAAAAACATTAGACCCCCCACCTATGAGATCTAATCAGAAAGTGAGCAAATGAAATAAGTTATTTCCTAAAAGTTCAAATAGCCAATAAATATATAACAACATGCTCAACATCGCTGATCATTAAAGAAATGCAAATTAAAACAACACTAATATTCTAGTTTACTCTTGAAAGAATGGCTATCATCAAGAAATCAAATAATAACAAATGGTGGCGAGGCCATGGGGAGAAAAATAAACCTTCTTCATTGTTACTGGGAATGTAAAATACTATAACCACTATGGAAATCAATATGGAGATTTCAAAACTAAAACAAAAAATTAAAAAAAAATATTAAAAACACCATATTACAGTGACAAATGCATACCCATATTTATAGCACAACAATTCATAATGGCTAAATCTTGGAAGCAGTCTATATGTCCATTAATGGATGGGTACTCTGCCATAAAGGATATAGTTGAGTCATGTGTAGGAAAAAGGAGGCACCTGGAGATCATAATGTTTTTTGTTTTGTTTTTTTGAGACAGGGTCTTGCTGTGTAGTTCAGGCTGGCCTTGAGCTCACTTTGTAGCCTAGGCTGGTATCGAACTCGAAACATCCTCCTGCCTCAGCCTCCCGGATGCTGGGATTACAGGCGTGAGCCACCAGGCCCGGCAGAGATCATAATGTTAAATGCAATAAATCAGATACACAAGCTTAAATGTACTGCATGGCTTCTATGATATGAGAAACCCAAATTATAAATAAAGAGCAAAATAAAAGATAGAAAATGGGAAGCAGTTCCTCAAATGGATGGAGGGAAGGGATTGAGGGGAGGTAAACAAGATGATAAAGAATGAACATGTACTGTGTACCTGGGCCCATTCTACACAAAGAATGTAAACGTTATGTACCACACACATGTGCTAATAAGATCACACATAGACAGGAACAACTACTCAATAAATAGTTTATAAGAATAAATTTTAAAAAGAGAGCTAATGAGTACACAAAAACTCTCAGCTAGGTAGGAGACTGGCTCAGTGGCGGCGTCTGCCTCGCATGTAGAGCTCCTAGGTTTGACCCTACCGCTAAAGTGAAGCAGGACCTCCATGACAGTATAGGCTTATTTCGGGTTATTCACCACTGATCCCCACTACCCAGCACTATGCCCTGCAATGCAGCATGCATTTGATTATTTACTGCCTATGTAAGTAAATCTTAGAGAGTAGTACTCTCCCTCTCCACAGGAATCGCCTCACTCCTGGTTTGTGGACTCTTTTTCCAGAAGTATATCACTTTGTTTAACTTTTTTTAACAATAGCATTTTTTAAAGGTAGGAAAAAAACCCTGGCTCTGCAGAGAAGTTTGAGCCAGTAAAATCAGGAAAACAAGTACACTCTGCAGGATGAGGATGGGCCACTGCAAGAGGACCCACCAGCCCACTTCATTTATTTTTTTCTTCTGAGTAATATTCCATTGTATAGCCCACTTCATTTAACGTGAAAAGAAACTGGAGGGAAGGGGAACACACATTCGCTCATCTCCTTTTCCAGATTGCCTCTTGCAGCACAATGGGTTTTTATTGTTGCTCTGTGGCTGCTACTGCTGGAGAAAGCAACCTAACCTGCCTGAAGCTGCTCCTAAAAAAAAAAAAAGAAAAAAATTAGACTAACCAGCTCTCACTGTAGGTAGAAAGTCACTTCTCTCACTGTACAGAATTCAAGTTATTGAATTATTCTGCAGAAAAATGACCGAGTAAATGACATGAACTGGTCCAACTGAAAGAGGTAGTAACACCAAGAATCATCTTGCAGAGAGGACCAGCATCAAAGAACAAGATTCCGGACTGCACTGTAGGAAGAGAGGAAGAAGAAAATGAAAGCCATTTACAAAAGCAGTTTTAACTGTGAAGATGGATTCACACAGCTGGCCTCACAAAAGAGAACAAATATGTCAAAGGGAACAACTGACAGACTAATAGAGTTCTATCCATCTGGCAGAGGAAAGAGCCGCTGGGGGGGACACTGAGAAGCCTGGGTGAACAGAGTAGCTTTTCACAATGCTAGAACACATGGTTACACCAGAGCTGCTGGCTGTCCTGCCAACAGAAGGCTTAGAAAAGGGTTACAATGACGGGCTGAGGCATGGGGTGGGGGAGGATGAGCATATGTGGTTCTCTTATTGGCTAGGAATTGTACTTGACCCCTCCAACTGGGATGGGAAGGAAGGCAATCACATGAAAAAGATGTTTTGTTTTGTGCTTTTTAGACCAGGACTCAAGTGTCTCAGAATGAAACATTACATTCAACCCTATGCCATGCTAAAGCCCCATCTGTACTTTATATAACGCAGTGCTAAGTGCAGGTGCTTTGGGAAAAGAGAAATCAGGCCAGACCCAAGAAAAACAACACGCAAGCCTAGCTGCATCCAAGTTAGACCATACGCGAGCAAGACCTCCACAGCAGCAACTGCTCAAGGCAAAGGGAACTCGATTACTAACAACACTCTGTCCCAGTCAGTGAGGGCTCACGTTTTAATGAGCCAAATAGTTTCAAATTAAGCTTAACTCAAGTGTTTAAATTGGCATTTTCTTCTATTTCTAAATTCTCATTTCTTACTTTCAAATACTGAAATCACTCTCTGACTAAAGTTTTAAAGAGCAATGCCTTATTACCCACTGCAGAACCGTGTCACCCACAGGTCTTCTGTATAAACTAAACATGCCTGTAGCAGGGCACAAATGAAAAGGGGCAACTCCATTTAAAGCCCTATCAAGCAGTTGTGTACCAAGGCCTCTCAGCAGCCTGACACCTGCCACCCCCGCCAAAAGCTCAGTAATAGACTCTCCTGCCACTAGAGAGAAGGTGACTGCTTGGTCCTAGCCACCAACTAGGTCACTCTGGGGAGGGTAGTAGCTTACCTGCTCCTCTGACAGTTGGGATATATGATTCACAGCAGCGTAGGATTCAATTTTGGGATTAAAGTGGTTGATGATGGCTCTGAAACAAGAATTAACATTAATATTGTACCAGATGGAAGAGGGGGCTAAAACTATGTACTGAGTACACTCAGGTTTGGAGTACTAGGTAATGGGAGTGATGGAGGGTTACTGTCCTCTTACTGAATGTGTGAAGGTTACAAATGGGACAAACTAATAACTCTGAAATGGGAAAGGGTTCATAATTTTTTAGACAGAAAACAGAACCAAGGGCTGGAGGTGCAGCAGAGCACTTGCCTCACATGTGCAAGACTCTGAATTCAATCCCAGCAGCATGAGGGGGTGGGGAGTGTTAAGTACCTCTGCTGTACAAATGAACTAAGCAGAAAAACCCAAAACCATCTATGCCACTCACAACAGACCCAGGGTGCTGTCCACCAGGGGGCCCCAGTGTTTCAATCAGAAAGAGAAACAGTCTGCTCTGGCAAAAGAAAAGGCTGCTGCACAGAGCTGGATCACATACAGACTAGACAGTCTCTAAAGAAGCTGAGGTCATTAAAGCCCAGGACCAGTCTTCAGATTTGTTAGTACAAAGTTTCAAACCAAAATTGTAACTCCAATCTTTCAAATCAATGAGTGTTATATATATATTTTTTTTGTCTTTTTCATTTTTATCGGTACCAGGGATCGAACTCACGACTGCCTGCTTGCAAGGCAGGCACTTATGCCGCTGAGCTAAATCCCCAGCCCCATGACTGTTATTTTCAAATATTGCCTCTCCACCACCCACTCACATGCAAAATCACCGAATTTTATCAAATCTACCTCCCAAAATGTCTGAACTTAATAAGCTTCTATGAAACCACTGTCTTGATATATATATTCTTGTCATTTTTTCGCTGATGTAGCAGAAAGAAACACAGGTTTTAGATCAAGATTTGACATTAAGTCCATACTGACATAAATGAATAATTAAATAAATGAGGAAAAGAGACTAATCCTTTTTTTTTTTTTTTTTTGGTACCAGGGATCAAACTCATAATTGCGTGCTTGTAAGGCAGGCACTTATGCCACTGAGCTAAATCCCCAGCCCCGAGACTAAAATTTCCTATAGATCAATTTCAAGTAATATGTATAGACATTCCCTCCCAGATGAGGTGGAGTTTAATTCCCACCCTCACAAAGAATGGACTATCTTTAGTGACTTAGACTAGCAAAAGAGAAAAACAGTAATTTTACACTAAAGAAATCTGAAAAATTAGTATTTAAATCCTTGACTCAGTGATAAAGGTTAACATCACCAGTGATATGTTTTTGTTTTTGTTTTCAGTTTAAAAGGGCAAAAACTTTATTTAGTTTTCAGGGTAATACAAGATGCATGTAAACCTAAGCCAAATACAAAACAAAACAACCCAAGTCTTACAGTCCAGAAACATGCCAAGACAGAGCATTTTGCACGAAGTGCTCTGGAAAGTGGCAGGCCAAGTGGGGTCTCTTCCCCACGGCACTGCATGTTTGTGGTGATTGAAACAGCCACCATTAAAAATATAGAAACATGGAGATAATTTAGCATCACCACTGAACCTGGGAATATCTTAGTACTCACAATGACTGCATCTGTCCAGTTTCTCTGCTGAGGGAAAGGAAAAAACCTGGATCCATGGAGCCCATCAGGAGCGGGGGCAGGGCTGTGTGGAGGCCACGAGGGATCTCTTGCAATTCTGGGGTCCTGGCGACATCCACCAGTGCACCTGCAACCATCTCCGCTGGCCAGGATAGAACTGCAGCCCACAGTGATGGGCACTCACACCTGTCCTGCTCACAAGTCACTTTCTGCAGACTTCTCAGGGACCAGAAGGGTCACCCACTGCCCATGCTGTATCCTGGGTTTAAAGGAAGCTGGCTGCAGAGAACAAGGTGAAAATCCAACAGTGGTGGCCAGGTACCCTGCTTTAACTTCTTAAGAGCAGTGTGCTTTGATTAGAAGCCACTAAAACAATAGAAGAGCAACTTGATGGGCATTCCCTTCAGCTTTCTGATTTGTAATGTGCCAGGCAGACGGAACCGCTGCAGGTACAAAAGAGCCTCAGGCCAGCAGTAGAAGGTGAGCGAGGTTGTGTTCCTCCCAGACCGACCTACCAGACCTTGCACTTCAGTTTTGGGACAGTGGGTGCCTACTGTGAGGCCCATCACAATCAATCATGCCTGATTCACACAGCCTGAGAGGCCAGCTATGGATGAGACAAAGGCAGTGGGCAAAGTCAGCGGGAACCTGGAAGATGGAAGTGAGTCTGCTGGAAAAAGGGCCTCTAAACCCAAAGACTTATTTGTTGCTTACAAGACCCTTTCTCCACTAAGTAAATCAATGTCCGTTTGCAAAGATCAGCTTGTAGTCAAAGAGCAGCAATCTTGTCTGGATCGCTTCTTTCAGAGGCCAAATTTGGAGGATTTTCCAAATTTCCGCTCTGGAGGGATCTGTGGATGTCAAATCATGAAATCTCCTGCCTACCTGCTCTCTTCTTTCTGAAACACTCAGCATCAACTTCTTCCTTCTAATCAATAAAGACAAAACAAACCCCCAAACTCTTTCTATCTTCCCACACCTTTTCTGTCTAGGAGACACCTCTTCTGGAAGCTTCCTTCCCACTGAAGGGACATAAGCCCCTGGCTGCCCCAGACATGCACACACTCAGGCTTGCCAATGTACCTCTCCCTTGTCTCCAATGTGCTCAGCCAAGCCTTTTGCTCTAAAACAGTGCAGGTCCTAAGGTCCAGGCCACTGGCCAGGATAGAACTGGGAGCAAGGCAGGGACCTTCAGCACTGGGATCCCACTGTGTAAGGCCACTAGGTTCTAGGACTAGAATGACTGAGGATGCTCACTGTCAAGGTCAAGTGCAAACAGAAGATTGAGAAAGACAGCACAGAGAAGAGGGAGCACAAGGGATCCAGCCTTACAGGTGGCTTGGGATCAAGGTCTAGGCATCTATAGGTGAGGACAGAGCAGGAGGAAAATTAAAATCGCCGTGGCCAATGGCTGTTGGGTCACTGATCCTGCCTCTGATGGAAGAGCTTGGAACCACACATGAGGCTGCCCCTGATAGGGGTGAGAAAGCCTCAGTAAGACCCAGGGGAGCCCCTCTACGCTGCTTCATGAAGTGTCCAGGCAGGCCCTGGAGCCGCTGCTGTGTGCACTGAAGGTCTTGCTGAGCATCCCACAGGCTGGTTCTCAGAAACAGGAACCCAGGCCAGCTGCTCTTATATCTTACGGGGCCTCTCTACTGATGACATCAGGATGAGGAGTGGGAGTCTGCCTGCACGGCGAGGAACCTGCAGGTGGGTGACCTAATAACCAACTCAGCATTTCCATGTAGAGTAGCAATCTCTCATCTGTATCTTTATTTGGAGCCCAGGACAACAGCTTAGGCTGCTTCTGCTAGATCTGTTAATGCCAGTGTGAAGTTTCTGACTAAATAATAAAATAATAATAATAAGACACATTGCACTCCCCAGCCAGAATTGTGTGTATGGATGACACAGGCACATACACTTGCTGCCAGGAGCTACAAGCCTCTTAGGTCCTGCCCAATGCCAAGGACTTGTTCCATGGAGACAGCTTGCCCAACATTTCTTTTGAATCCCATGTTATTTAGTTCAAGAGGGAAATTACCAACACTCTCATACATGAGTGAGTGTATACACATGCATACACACATATACACACAGAGAGACACTTAACACATAGCTCTCAAAACAGTTAGGGATTCTTTAGCAATGGGACAGTCCCTTTTTCAGAGAGCTTTGCATGAAGATTCTCAGAGTCTGGAGTTGTGGTTCAGGTATATTATTAACAGGGATAACCACAGTCCAGAAGCAAATGAGCCTGATGCTTGGGGGGGGGGGAGTAGACTAAGTTGGACCTTTTCAAGTTTAAAAGCCTTTGTGTTGCAAACAACACTATCAAGAAACATGAACATGAGCTGCACAGTGGCACAAACCTGTAATCTCAGCTACTGGGGAAACTTAGGCAGGAGGATCAAAACCTTGAGGCCAGCTAAGGAAATTTAAGGAGATGGTAGTGTCTCAAAATGAAAAATAAAAAAAGGATGGGATGTAATTCATTGGTAAAGCAATTGCCTTGCATGCACAAGGCCCTCAGTTCAATCTCAACACTGAAGGGAAAAAAGGATAGGGGTAAGGATGTACCTCAGTGATAGAGTACTTGCTTACCATGTGTAAGAGGCCCTGGGTTTAATCCCTAGTACCACAAATATAAACAAAACAAAGTGATAAAATAATCCACAGAATGGGAGAAAAGTATTTGCAAATCACCTACCAATAAGGAACTTATATCTAGAATATGTTAAAAAAAAAAAGACCTCATAAAATTCAACAATAAAAAGGCAAATCAATTTCTAAAAGAGCAAAATATTTTAATAGCTCTGAAAAGATGCTTAGCTGGGTGTGGAAGCACATGCCTGTATACCAGCATTTGAGAGGATAAGGTAGGAGGATTGCCATGACTTTGAGGCCAGTCTGGACTACATAGGGAGTTCAAGGCAATCCTGAACTACAAAGCAAGACTCTGTCTCAAAACACCAAAACAAACAAAAAAGATCCTTGACATCATTAGCTATCAGAGAAACGCAAATCAAAACCATGAGATGACAATTTCATACCCACTAGGACAAAAATAATCAAAAAGATACTGGCTGTGTCGGCAAAAATGCAGAGAAACTAGAATACGCTTACACACTGCTGGCTGGATTACAAGTAGTATAGCTTCTTTGGAAAGTGGCTTGGCAGTTCCACAAATGTTGCTTAAGTTATCATCTGACCTAGAAAGTCTACTCCTAGTAATACTCCTAGTAATAAATGTCCACACAAAAACTTGAATACAAATGCTCAGAGAAAAGAGTCCAAAATGTAAAAATAATAACCCAAATGTTCATTAACTGAAGAAGGGATCAATGAAATATGGTGCAGCTGTAAAGATATATTAGCCTTAACAAAGAATGAAACTCTGTAACATGTTCATATGGATAAACTCTGAAACTGTTCTG